TTGGAATTCTTTTCTTCTATGGGGACGGAGCACATGCGAGGACCCAAAATTCGTTCTTAAATCTCGGCTTTTCCAATGTTCTTTTTCTCTTCCAATGCTATTTCTATCTTTAGTGTTCTTCGTAACCCTTCCGGCCGAAGCAACACCAAACTCGAGACGCTCTCTCCGACAGTCTTTCCTCCTCCGGTCCAAAGCCAAAAGTGTCCTTATCGTCCCCCACTTGCCCTCTGGGCTATCTTCACTCCTTTGTCCCGAAATTGGGTCACTGACCACCCACATTCAGACGAAAGTTCCAGAAAGTATAGAAACAGAACAAAGAGAAAGGGGAATAGAATATTCTTATATATACATATAAAATAAAAACAACAAAAATATACTGGTGTACCACCACAATATGTAAATTTTAAATACACTTTTGGTTTTGTTGAACAATTGCAAAATTTTAATAACAATCATTGTTTGTTTTCTTATATATTAAATTAATAAAATAATTAACTACAAATAGCTGCTGTTGTAAATATTATATGCTTTCTTTATAATCAAACATTTAATTCTTAAGAAAAATATTATTAATATTAAAACTTCAGTAGAATATTGAAATATTGAATTAGAAAATGAAATATTTAGTAGAAATTAAGTTTCTGTGATATAATTTCTGAGATGACAATGTCTACTATCAAATTTTTTTTGCTAATTATTTGGATGGCCAAGTGGTCAAAGCAGTAAAGATGTTAGTCTGCCACTGCTTTGACCATTTGGGAAGATGGGTTCAAGTCCTGGTCAGGTATCTCAAATTTTTCTTTGTTGGTATGTTTTAAATATGTCATACCCTGTCTATTACTACCTGGCTGCACTCATTGTGGGTCTGGCCAAATCCATAATGGATATGAAAAGAAAGGTTCTCAATGTCCAAAGGCATAAAGAATTAAAAAACAGTCAATTAATTTAAGATAAAATTAAACAAAATCTTTGTAGAGTGACTTCTGATTACCATAACAATAATTAAAATGTTTAATTCAGTGCATCTGTTTTGAATATTGGCTTAGACTTAGTCTGATTTCTCAAATTTCAGTTTTATCTGCTGCTGCTGTTTCTTTTTATATCTTGCAACTAATCAGAATTTACATTAATGTATTACAATAAAATTTAAATATACCAGAGATTATATAAAGTTTCGTTACTGATAGCTTGTATTTTTTATGAACTAGCCTCCTGCAAGAGCAAAAATAAAGAAAGGACTTTTTAGCAAGTTATCAGATAGTATAGAAAATCGAAAGAGTAACCATAAGGTAAAAATATTTTGCTATCTCATTATTTGAGATTCAGAAATTAAGTAAATTAAGTACTTGAATTCATTTGTTGTAAAACTAATCACTAGATATAATATTGATAAATAAATAGGATAATTATTTGAGATTCTCTAAATTTTACTTAATTTATCAATATGAAGATTATTATGAATTATCTAGTCGAAATGTGACAGAGCATGCTAATTTTCTCAGACTTGATTTGCTATAGTATATTATTCTAATTCTATAAATTAAGTTTATTAATAAAATATTTGTTAGTTAGTATTGGATGCTAACTATTTGAAAGTATTGATACTTATCAAGAAATTTTAAATTTGAAAATTTCCCTAGATATAAATTAATATTTCTTAGTTTAATTTCTTATAAAAGCAATTCATTTAATTAAAAGCATTTATAATAATAAATTTTTAGGATTGTGAAGAATTTTTTCAAAAAGAAAGGGATTGGGTAAACAAATACGGTATTCAAATAAGTGAATGTAGTGAGGTGAGTAACTGTTTTCTTTTTATCAAATAGCAAATAAATTTATTAATATACTAATACGTCTAAAATTTACTACTAAAAATGTAATATTATTTTAAATAAAAATGTATAATATAATTCAGTTTCACTACAAGAAATCTTTTTTTCTTACCAGGCGTATAACAATGTAGTTTATGCACAGCAAAGTAAGACAAATTTATTATTCAAGCCTATCATAATAACACAAGTAATAATTTTAATCAGTTTACTTAAAATAAGTTATTAAATTATTGTTTATAAAATTGTAAAAATCTCCATGACTGATCAAATTTACAAATTAAATTCAAATAATTTTACTGATTTGCTTTATTTCAATTTGAGTGTATTTAGAATAAATTATCCTGAAAATCCTGTGTGTCTAATCAGGTACTTTCTTTTTTGATTTTAGGCTTACAGAATGTTTAGATGAGATTTAGTATATAGTGACAAAAATTCATATAAACACAAGAATTATAATAGAAGTTTCTAATTTTATAAATTTACTTAATCAAAATAGTTTATTTTTCTAATTAGAGTAATAGAGCAGGAAAACTTTTTCTTTCTCAATTGTAAAAAATTACGTTGTAATACTAAGCTAAGTGTGGAAAATTGTTTAAGACTGGAAATTGTCTCAGAAAGTAGTATAAACTTTCATTATACTGTTACTTTCATAATGCTGTTAAGTAGCTTGCTGTAATCATTTCCAAATGAAAAATACACAATTAGATTAGTATATAAAAATTAATATTTATTCACTTAATAATTATTATTAAGTGAATAGTGATTAAAGACAAAATTAAAATATTTAAGGTAATATTCTGGTAAATATATAATGAGTTGTGGTAAATAGGAAATAATCAATATATTACATTTTTAGATCTGAAATTTCATTTAAAATGTAATTCCAATGAAACTCTTTGTGCATTAAAGAGATGATAGAGATTTTATTTGGGGAAAAAGCATTTTGACTAGATAAATTTAAATTATAAATTATACTTAATTGCTACATTTAGTTAATCCTATCTTAATTTAGAGCTCTTAAGTACTGTATTTCCCCGAAAGTAAGACCTAACCAGAAAATAAGCCCTAGCAAGATTTTTCAGGAAATAAATATTATTATTGACATTAATACTTAAAATAAATGATGATATAAATTATAATTATGTATTTGTAAATACCCAAGTGCTTTGAATACCTTTGAATGAGATATTCCTCTGAAAATAAGACCTAATGTGTCTTTTGGAGCAAAAATTAATATTCTTATTTTCAGTGAAACACAGTAGTAGTTTCCAAGAATTTAATGAATCAAAATTATGCATGATGATTAGTTAAATTATTTTACAATGTCCTGTATCAAAGTAAATAAAATTATTATATATGTTTAAATTATAAATGCTTAATTTGTCAAACTAGAATTAAAAAAAACATGTAAATGTAAGCTGGAAGAGTCTTTTACTGAAAGTAAAATTTTTGCAGTTTTTTGATTTATTTAATACTCACTATAAAACATTTACAGTATACCCCCTATAACACGGGTTCATATAATACAGATTCGTATAACACGGCGAAAAAATTGCAATCGTATTCATATAAACATGCTAAAAGAAACTCGTACAATATGGTAAAATGTCATCACTGACTCGTGTCGCAACAGCATTGATTGAATCTAGACCAGTAGCGGATATTGCACAAATTGTTGAGTTTAAACGAGCAGCGGACCTACTAAAAACTACTAATTATTTAACGGCCATAAAAATTATATTTATACGAATGATGTCTCCAAAGTTCAGTGAATTTTTCACAGAAAAATAACTTATCAGAAAACATGTGCCTGCCGTTCGATGCGCCGCTGCACGACGAAAACAAACTTAAGCAATGGTGTCATCAAATGGTGCACACTTGGTAAGTAATCCTACAATTTTTTCTTTATAGCATAGTTTATATCAGTGTTTCTCAACCTCTAACGAATCGTCACCCCCCCTTCAATGTAGTATCGCCCCCTTCAATAAAACCATTACGTAGTATTGCCCTCTTTACTATAAATTCCAATGCCGAGGGCCAAGACTAACGCCAAATTCGTACTGCATTGACTAGTGACTAGGATAATGTTATTTGTTTAATTATTGTACGATGTAACGAATAAAATATCTAATTATTCTTAATATAATGTTTTACTATATTGCCTCCCAAAATATAAATCGTTACTAATTGCCCCCTCAACATGGAAAAACGCCCACATGGGGGCGATATCACCCCCGTTGAGAAAAACTGGTTTATATGGATTATTCCCAAAAAAATTGTGTTTTGGAAATGTTGAGTCAAATTAGTCTAGAATCGATTAATTTTATTTAAGAAAATCTTTCAAACAGCCATAGTTTGTAAACTGCGTATGTGCCAGGCTGTGATTGGCTCATGTATTTAAGTGACTTGTAAAACACGAAATTCATATAAAACAGAACGTATCTACTGTGTTATAGGGGGGTCTACTGTATATTTATTACTATTAATTTTTAAAAGTTTTGAATGATGATGATGATTAAAATATCATACGTTTTCCAAAATTGAATTTTCTTTTCATTAGAGAAATCTTTTAGACAGTTTTATCTTAGTTGATTCAATATACTTATTTTTTACTTTTTTTAAGAAAAATTTTTATTTAAAAGAAGAATATGTGTTTAAAATAGATTATTATTTACAGGTTTTTTTTTTCAGTGAATACTTTTAAATTATTATTGTTCTTTTTCAAGTCTCGTATTAGTACTTTATTGTATTCCATAATTTATTTATGAAGTTTTCATATTTAATTTTTAAAAGACAAAAAGAATTAAGTTAATTCTGAAAGTAAGTTTTTTAATTACAAACTATTTGTAAATAATAATCCATTTATAAATATTAATCATTATTAATATTAAAAAATATATAATATTTTGTATATAGCATCACATTATTTTCATCACTGAAATGTTATATTTAATCAATACTAACTTAATATAATTCAGTATGACTTTTTAAGTGAGTGCATTTATAGGAATGTACATTGCTTTTTGTTCTATTTTTAACTTTTTCTATCCTTTGGGGTATTAAGAGGACACATTATTCCTATACCTGTTGAGTTTAGCTAACCACAATAGTATAGCTGAATGTCGAGAGTCAATGTCAAACATATTTGATTCACATTTCTTAAAAAAAATTTGATTTTAACCTAGATTCAAACACAGGTTCCCAGAATGGTAGGTCGACTCTTCAGTATTTAGTTCCCAATTCTCTTGCTATCACCAGTATGTAAAGTATATGCTTTACTGTCTGAGTTTGTCTGAAATACTTGTATGCTTTAATTCAGAGGATTTGACTATTTTATTATTGTAATAAAAGAATAAATTTTTCAGATTTTGCTTTTTACTATGTTTAACTGCCAATATAAATTTGTTTTTGTAAGCTTTCTTCTTAAAAAATTAATATTTTTCTTATTATAGTATAGTGTTGTTAATGATTTTCTTTTTAAGTACTTAGATTATTTTTTAATTTTAAGTCTTTTCTAAATTAAGAAAAAAGTATACAGTCGACCCCCCCTATAACGCGGTAGATACGTTCCACTTTATAAGAATTTCACGTTGTAGGAATCCTTAAATACATGAGCCAATCACAGCCCTGCACGTGTGCAGTTTGTGGACTACGGCTATTTGAAAGGTTTACTTCCATAAAATTAATCNATAAGTTTATGTCCAGAATATGTTTTATATCAGGGATTTTGTAGAACTGTTTTGTAAGTGAAAGGTACGTTTTATATTTTTATGATTTCTACAATACTTGTGTTTTTATATGTATGTTATATTCTTTTTTAATGTTTTAGTTGGCTGAAGAGGGGCTTAAGAGCCCGAAACATGTAAAAATTTTCACACGTATCAACTAAATAAAGATGAGAAAACCCGCCATGTGTCTTAATTTATAACACTTTATTGTGTTAGAAGCATAAAGTGTTAATTTTATTTATTACTTCATATTTCTGAAGTTGATACATTTATTGTTTAGCTATTTGATATCATTGTTATTTGTCAACTGTTTAGAATTATTTAGATATTTAAAAGTAAGTATCAAATTTAAAATAGCAAATATATTTAAAGTAACTATTATACTACTTTAATAGCTGAGTTTGGCTGTTTGGAATGGTCACATAGTGAAGACCGTCTTCTATATATTGCTGAAGAAAAGAAAACAAAATCAAAATCTTTTTTCAAGCAAAAGCATAATAAAGATGATGATGAAAATAAGCAGGAAATAAAAATGGTATAATAAAACATTTTTTTTTTTTTATTCCTATTTCCTTTAATAAATAAAATTAACTTTTAATGTTAGTTTTAACAAAAGGGATTAACTTTATCTTTTCTATTATCTATAGTTTAATTTGTATATTTCAATATAGCATCATTTACTGAATACTAAATTAGTTATGTTTTGATCTAATTTTAATGTAAATAATAAACCAAAAAATTTAATTATTTTGATTCAAATATTTTTCTTAGTTTAAGCAAGAATAAAAAACAAAAATGGTGCTTTCTTTAAAGCAGAAGTCCTTTTATTTTGTAAACGTTTTGAGAGATTTATCCATATTTAGATACTTTTCAGAAACTTCTGCATGTTACCATGATATGATAAAGATTTAATCAATGTATCTGTGAATGTGATAAGTGTGTTCAGATTTTGGCTAGTGAATAAATAAAATAGTTAAATATAGTTATAGCTGACACACATGAATTTTCAGTATAATTAATCAGTCATCATTATTTAATTAATTTATTAAAACAAGCTTTAGCAGCATAAAAAAGCCTACAGGATGATATGTGTAATTGTACTTCGGTCTAAGCAATAAAATGTCGGTTGTACATTTTTCCTTACTTAAAATATTTCAAATAATAAAATATACATAATATAAATACATGTATTGAATATGAATCTTTTTATACTGGTTTGAGCAAAATTTTTCTAAAATTATCTTTTTTTAATAAATTTTTTGCTTAGTTCTAAAATTCTAAAAATGCATGCTTGTCATAAAATAGTAAATAAATAGATTTACTTTTTCTCTTACTTAGAAATGCTACTTTTAAACGTATTGCATTTAAGTAAATTAGAATATTTAGAATAGAAGTAAATTGTCTTTTTAAACTATCAATTAATATTATAGTGAAATATTTATAAGTAATACTTATCTAAATATATTTGCATATACATTTATTTATTTATTTTTTAGGGTTATGTAGTGTTCTTGGACATCTTGCAACAGCCCTTACGTTTTCAATAGGGGGAAATGATGAAATCACCAAAGTAGGAACAAAGTATGTTTATACTCAATTGCTATTTGTCTTATTGTAGTCCTTCATATTATAAAATTTACCAGATCTAAAATACTTTTAAACAATATTTTATGTAAACAAATTCTATGTAATTTATAATATATATATTATAAATGTAATT